GACGTCCAATTTGGATGGCTAGTAGTAAATGAAAATAAGAGTTCTACTTCTAAGCAAGCCTTATTTTTAATAATGTTTATACCATCTAGAGAAGTACTAGAAGTTTGGTCTATGCATAACTATGAAAAAATATCTATGTCTAAAGTGTCTAAAACTGGAAAGTATGTTGTATTACAAACTTTATGGGTCACTAATGCAATCTGTATTACTTCTATTTGTATTTTAGGCTTTTTTACACAAATTTTGGTTTGTTTGGAGCTCTAAGTACATCAAGAATGAACATATACAATGCTAATTATCATTGTTATTTTATAGATGAAACAGAAAATATTACAGAAATAAATGTACCTTATCACTGTATAGAAAAGTATATATGATTTATTAAAATATTTAATGTATTTATCGTATTAATAATTTTTATTTTTATAAAATCTTTACTTAGTTGCTCTAACAGTCAACTTTCTCAAGATATGTATACATTTAAAACATTCAAGTCATTATGTAAAAGTGAAAATTTAGATAATGAAATCCTCTGTGAAGAAGTAGTGAAGTTAGTCAATAATTTAATGACTGATAAAGTAAGGCAACAAGCATTTGATTATATTACAACCAGTAAACGCATAACACAAAACGTTTTGGTCGCATTTTTGAAAAACTTTCAAACAAATTTAAAAGAAAAAAGTAAAATCTTGACAAGTAATTAATGTACTAAAAATTAAAATACATAATAATTTTGATTTAACTTTAGAACTAGGTGACCCTCAAAATTATGATGAAAATTTATTGAAAAATACTAATAACCATTTAAAGCTTATAATGTTTTTCAAATTTTTATCCAATTTCCAAAAAAAGCATCGTTTTCAAGCATTACCTTTATCAGCTGAAGATAAAATTCAAGTATACAAGTATAACACTATGTTGAATATATTATTATATTTATTCATATTCACTTTTTTTAAAGGAATTGTGTAAAACACTTCGTTTAAGCGATCAGGATATGGATAAAATTATTTCTCTACTACCTATTGAACSAAAAAAAAAAACTGTAGTGATGTTCAGTGAAGACGTGAAATCGATAAATTTAGTTGAATTACTATCTTATTTTAATACAACTGGTGAAAATGTATCTATAAACATTGATAAAAATGTAGATGAATTATGTAAGATTTATCCATATTTATATGTATTTGTAATATTGTATATTAATAAAAATATTTTTAGGTAAACATATATTTGAACCTATTATGCTTTTTGATAATGATATCGGAGAATGGAATTCTGCATGGATAGCTAGTGGTATTCAATCATCAGATATGGTTTATTTAGCTGTTAAATATTGGCTATCAAAACCTCTCACCTTAACAGTAGTAACAGAAATGTTAAATTTTCACAGAGTAATTGACACAATCTGTAATTCTAATGGTATGAGTTGAAATTATAATTCCATAGCATGTATTGTATATATTTATATATATTGTAATCAGGTGTAAAATTTGATTGGGAAGTAATACAAGATCAGTTTTCGTGTAGTTCAAATACCTTTGCTTGTTTTACTGGAGCTWTAATTTGTAAAACAATTGCATCTAGTAGAACAACAGGTTGGTTATCATATTAATATGTAGTATGTTAGTTATTTGAGAGGTGATTAAAAGTGGATTTTTAATATATTAATACTTTTGTTATTTGTATAATTCATGTTTTTAGTCAATGTTAGCAATGAATGGGAATGTATYTCTGGAAATGACTATCAATGGAATATATTAATTGAAAGACTTGAGCAGTTGTGCCATCTCAATGCAACATTAAAATATTGTTCAAMACAACCAGTTGGAACACTTCACTGTTTAAAATATGAATACTCATCGATTACACTAATAGATTTACTRCAACTTGGACGTGGTAATATCATTAACAAATTACATTTATTATAATAATACATTATAATAATA